CACCTGGGAATCCACTACATGTGTTGCTGGGCACTAAGTGTAATGAAGAGATCTCAAAATCATATACAAATTATGGTGTACCTAATTAACCAGCTTTATATCTGATGGCTAAAAAAACAATAAAGATATTGCATGCAAATTACTAATAAGTGACAAAATTGCAACAAGAGGGAGAAAGTCCTAGCTCTCATACTTGAGAACAGAGCTTCCAAAGTACAAAGAAAGATTTAATGAAGTTAGTAACAGAGGAGGAGAAAAACAAGAGCTGAGGTGCCAAGAAAAATGCTGAGCATGATGTTAGACTTATGTCTTATGTTCAGTAAAGACACCTGGAACTGTTTCAGGAAGGCTTTCTGCAATCTTCCTACCACTCAGTACAGATTAGAAATAGCCACTCATAAAGCATTTATGGATCTTATTCTTGTGCTGCTCAGCTGCAACATAAATTAGAGAAAAGAAGGAACAACCCTAGTTTCACCACCACTTGTAATGAATACATGCAAGTGGACTGGTGAGAGCAAAGCTGCACTTTGCCACAATTTTCTCTGTCCTGGATCATCCCTTCATTCCCACGATATGCCTCATAAGCCAGAAATAAGAAACTTGTTCAACACAGATCTGTGTCTGCTAACACAAGTGAGGAAAATTCAAGCATGCTTTGTTTCTAAAAGCCTTAAAAGGGCTATGCATCACTTCGCTTAAGAATGAAGGTTAATTCAACCAGCATGCTGCTAATATGAAGGCTCCAGGAAAAGATGCACACCAAGCACTACTGATCTAAGGCATTCCCAGTGAAGGCAGGCATTCACAAGGGGAAAAAAAAACATTAAATAGAAGTTTTCTTATTCTTCCTATTTTGACAAAGCAGATTTTCAAAAATTGTAACCTTATAGGTGGTTGGTTTTCCTCCTCCCCACTCTCACATTTAGAAACTCAACAGCTGAGCTGTTGGTGAATCACTTTCATGAGATCAAATGCTCTAATAGTCATGCAGATAAGAAATATATATATAAATACAAACATTAAAAGTTTATGTATTAGGCTTCCAAGTTTGAGCTGAAAGTAGAAACAAAATTTTATTTTAAAAAGACTTGAAAATGCAATGAGCTGCTTCTAGAAATTTTAGGAAAGACTGCATGCCAACAGGTATTTTGATATGTCTGCTTTTTAACAGTCTATCTAAATGAGATACTGAAAACAGACTTCCTGTATCTTGGGATCAAGCTTTAAATAAAATCTGTGGGGTGGCATGGAGCAGAAATATAAATCCTCACATCCTGCTCACTGTCATCTGCACCAAATCTGGTAAGTACAGATAGTACAGGTCAACACTAAGGAAAGAAGACCTTAACGCTTGTCCTACTCTTTTCGCTATCTCTCTCCAAGTAACATAAGAGATGCTGTTCACATGAACTGCATCACCCATGCAACTGGCAAGGAAATGTGAGCAGCAAGGAGAACATGCCGTCACAGTAGGGGCTGGGTTTGCTCAGAAGGCAATGTGAAGTCCAGAAAGAGACCAAGCAGTTTCTCCTATCGTTATGTTTTGCTTTGTTTAACCAATCACCACACATTCTTTTAAGGTACACGTCAAGAAATTACCATAGCAATAACAAGAGTCACCTGAGAAATGACAAAAGCATAACTGCATTCATTTTTCAGGTCAGTCTCTATGACAGTGGGACTGAATGCCATTGATCAGCAGCTAGTTAACAAAGGCCATATTTGACACAGATGAGCTGGTCCTCATTCATATGAAATGCAAAATGAAAATGAAATACTCAGAAGCTAAAATGAAGATCAAAGAGATGAATAATAATGAGTAAATTGTATCACTCCCTAGAACTAACATAATATGCTGTTACTGGGGAAGGAAAAGACCATAACTACCTGCAGAAATTTCCAAGCCAAATGCACTGTTTACAAAATCACTGTTTTCTGAAGTACATGCTCATCTGGAAACAATCACAGAAAGGGTGGGCGAGCACACAACAAACCTCTGCTGCCTCTAACTTCTGTGAAAACAAGTACAAGAATACAGGTCCCCTTCTGTACCTGCTAAAAAAACCCACAGCATTTTCTTTGGAAAACGTGTTCTTTCAAAGCTGTGACACTCCTACCCATGTATGCATAAACTCAATATAAGCTGCACTCATAGGAACAAAGTTCACATAGACTAAAAATAGACACAGTACTGAAAAGTACAACTGGGGCATGTGGGGTTTTTTCTCTTTTTTTTTTTTGTACTGAGGATGAAAGTTAAAAAGGGACTGAAATTGTGGCTTTCATTGCAATCGCCTGTTGCCATCATTTCCTTCTCACTTACAGTGAAAGGAACTCTTTGCTTAGTCCTCCCATCAGTAAGCAGCTCAAAAGGACTCTTCCTTATCCTTTACAACCCTGAAATTCACCATTTGTTTCCACTTTCTGTAGGTTTCTTTCTCAAATTTCAGACCATTAGACCATTGTTATTTATGCTTCCTGCCCTTTCTCTGCTTGAAAATTTGTGCTTGTACACTTCTTGCTCATTCAGACATGAAATCCAAAAGTAATGCAAAATTAAAATGTAAAGGTCAAATAACTCTTAAGTAAATGATAATCTTTATCATGCTATTTTCTCTCCAAAAAATATGTTGAAAAAGACCAACAGTGGCAAAGTAGGAGATTTCTTTTTCTCTCAGAAGCCTGCTGCTCACACAACTTGCAGCTTTGTGCATGTGTGGTCTGATTTGTTTGCTGCTGTGTCTGCATTCACCACCCCAGGGTGGCTCTCCTGGGAACTTCCAGTCACAACCAATAAAAATGACACAACTTGAGAACATGCTGTGCACCGTGTCTCAACTCTGGTCCATGAACTGTTTACTCCTTATTTAACTAATCTATACAATCTAATTATTAGAACTGTGCAAAATACTCATTCTATGCACTTGAAGACATTCATGTGGATTTAAGGCAGACATTGGGTAAATATTACAAAGATTTTCCTTCAATTCTGCAAGTATCCAGTTTACATCTCTAGAACTGAGGGCTCCAGGGAAGATGTCAGTGCTCAAAGGAAGATAATGTGTAAGTTTTAGTGGTACGACTGTTGTAATTGCAAGGGAATGCTTCTGGCTTCCACAGTAATCAAAATTAAACAATGCATTTATACAATCTCACAAATTATCTGACCAAGGGCAACAGGGATACAGCTTGAAAAGCAAATAGCTTAGAACTAATGTGTTCTGAGAAATCACACCGCTTATGCATGCGTAAGCAGAAAAGAAACTGAATTCATTAGGTGAGAAGTACCTGCTGCACAGTCGGGCACAGCTCAGTGAGGGCAAAGAGCTGGGTGTTTCAGGGCCAGTCTTAACAGCAGCTCATACTGACAAAGTTACAGCAAATACTAAGCAAAGTTGTTTACAAGATCATAAAATCTCTCACATCTTCATATGCAGCATTCCATAGCATGGAGAAAGAATTACAATCTTCAGGTAATTTTCTCTTACAGAATCACAGAATCACAGAACTGTAGGGGTTGGAAGGGACCTCCAGAGATCATCGAGTCCAACCCCCCTGCCAAAGCAGGTTCCCTACAGCAGGTCTCACAGGTAGGCATCCAGGCAGGTCTTGAACATCTCCAGAGAAGGAGACTCCACCACCTCCCTGGGCAGCCTGTTCCAGTGCTCCGTTGCCTCACCGTAAAGAAGTTCTTGCGCACATTTGTGCAGAACTTCCTGTGCTGCAGTTTCCGGCCATTTCCCCTTGTCCTGCCTCCACTCACCACTGAAAATCTTAATGAAGATGATTTTATGAAGGTGATCTGAGAACCGTTTTGTGAGGATTATGAAGAACTGGATGGGCATTTACAAATAAAAAGATCCCATTTTATGGACAGCACACTCAATAGACTGATGCTTCCTGAGAGACTTTTCCTTGGAAAACCAATGTTGTCTACAATGCAGCTACCTTCAGACTTGATTTACTGAAAAGTTTCGACAGGCTAAAGAGGCATAGAAGATTGCATTGCAGAAACCAACAGGGGAAACCAAGAATTTACAGAATCTCTTTATAGATAGTTAGATAAATGGGATATATACCTAAATATCACATTTTCACAACTGGGATTCTGCACCACCGAAAATAATGTGCAGGCCATATTTCTAATACACATTTATTTCTTGAGAAGGCCAATTCGGTGCAGCTTCTTGATGCCCTCCCTACTGCAGTTTCTCTTTTTCCAAAGAAACAGGTTTTGACTCACATGAACCCACTTAGTCTGTGCATCTTGTTTTGCTACTTTTGTTTTGTTGCTGTTGTTGGTTTGTTTTTGTGTTTGCCTGTTGTTCTGTTGTTGTTGTTCTTTATGCTATTTTTCTAACTAATTAGAGACTGATGACTTATTAATTCCATGCAGTTTCTATGGAGAACTTTATTAATGCTCTCCCCCCGCTATTTCTGCTCCAAATTCTCAAGCTCTCTTTCTATTCCCTCTTGCCATTGGAATAGGATCTGATTAACAGGTATATCTCTCCGCACACTTCCTTCTTCTACTCTATATTCAGATAGGAGCAGAATAAAAGCAACATGTTTAATTACAATGCAAAAACCATAAAGGGATGGATTCAAAGAGGGCATTTCTAATTTGAACAAGAGATAACACCTTGCAGGAAAAAGAATGCAATAAAATTTCCACAGCCGTCAGCTCAAAGTTCCCTTCCCCCAATTTTAAAACCATGGGGTGCCAATAATATTACTACTCAGACACTCTAAATCATGAAGCTGGATTCAAATTCACTTCTGCTTAACCCTGGGATTTCTTGTTTGTATACCTGCACAGCAAGTACTGTGTGCAAGAAGTGAGATCTCAGTTTCTGCAGCAGCACGTGCCAAGTTCAAAGAGATGCACCTGCTTCTAACAACCAGCACACAACCGTCTGCCATTAAGCACTGCCCAAAAGCAGAAGCAAGAAGCTTTGTGTTTGCATAGGCTGCTCCACCGACCCACACACACTTACCTCAGCCCAGTGTTTGGCTCTTCATCAGAGGAGAAGGTACCATTGCAGACATTTCCAAAGGAGTGGCTCGGCTTCAGTTTGGTTTCCTCGCAATCTGACACAGGCTCCCTTTTCTTTCGTTTCCCAAATAACTTCTTGAAAGGCTGGAACTTGCCTGCTTTTTTCTTGTCTGCAGATGACAAGACAAACACAGGCAGGGCTGAGGGCACCAGCACCCAGCAACTCACCAGCAAGCAGGGTTAGCGTCTTCAAAGGAGGAACACGGTCAAAGAGCAAAGCAGCAGCCCGGAGCAGCCTGGCACTTGCAATGTAAATGCTGGGCTGCAATTCCCTGCTGACGTACAGTATTGACAAAGCAAAAGTAAGTGCATTAAAACATCTATTCTTGGTTTTAGGGATCTGCTCGTAAATTTTGCAAGGCCAGAACATAATTTTGGGGCTCATTTTTAGGCTTATATTGCTTACCATGCTTATATTTTGTTCTTTTCACCAAAAGACAAGCACCTTTTTGATTACCCCAGTACCACAGGTGCAGGATCTTCTGTCTTGAATTGAAAGAATTTGAAAATCATGTGCTGGATTTTCCTTTTGCAGCATCATAACTAGAAAGGCATGCCAATTTGCAAATGACCAAAGAGAACACGAACAAAGTTCTGTTACTTTGCTAATGAGCTACTTAATACATATTTTTCTGACCATTTCTTTCCCCCAAAGTAATGGAGTACAGAATTTAACCAAGCATCTCTTCCTTGAGATACTTTTTAAAAACTTCACCAAAACAACACAGCAGAAAGACAAAGCAGACATGATGACAAGAAATATTTTAAAAAATATTTTAAAAGTTAACAAGAAGTGATTTATTTTTCCAAAAAAGAATTAATAAAATAAATATAGCTTCAAATGACTTTTTCCTCAATGTGTATTAAACAAAAATCACCAAGAGTTTCTTGTTAAACATTGCCAACAAGAGACTAATCTGTCTGGGCTAGACTGCACTAAAGAATTGCTAGAGCACTGTATTGTCAAAAAGTTTGAGTTCTTCTCTACCTGTATGCAATTTTGCACTGAATCTGCTTAAAACAAGCTAGCAGGTTGTTTTAAGACAAGTTTGAGTCTCAGGTGAGTGGTATGAGACAACTTTTAGTCTCTTGTCCTAATCCAGTTTGAGAAGCATCGTGTCGTACTGGTGACAAATAGCTCTGTAAGCTATTTAAATCCCTCTATGTGCTGTTCTCTCAGACTGTGTGCAGAGGCACTGCCTGTGTGCACACCCTGCTCTTCCCTAAGAGCTTTTGTTCAGCAGGAAGAAGCAGTTTGGTTTTAAAATACAAGACTTCTGTAGGAACACTGGACCAGGAAGTACAAAAACATCTCTGTAGCGCAACAACATTCTTCAGTACCACACTGTGTTTTATGTTCCACTTTGTTATACCGGTGTACGACAAAGCCACACCTAAGTAACACTCACTGCAGCTGCTGGAGGCATGATGATGGAGTATTTAGTGAGAGAAAAAACGCATGAGTACACTGGGATCTGGCTACCTCCAACAACCAGTAGTTTCCAAAGACTAGGGTGCCAGGTGGCCTGAGCTGAACCCAGGGGAGGGAACAAACTCACACAAAGAGCAGGAAAGCTGTAACCGACTCCTTGTGAATCTGAGCACATCTGTACCTGATCAAGGATGAAGCAGGAAACCTAGATTTAAATAATAAATCAAAGATGCAATACATCCTAACAGCACATTTCCTTTAGAAATCTTTAAGATTTTTACACAGGTATCATCCTTCTTGGATGATGTTCAGCAGTTAAGATTCATGGCATTTGTGCAACTCTGTTATGACAACACTGTGTCTCAGTAGCTGGGGAAAGACAGAAGGATGAACTGCTGGACTACCAGGTGACATACATTTGCTTCTCCCTATTCCTGAGATCTGCTTTCCAACTGACATCTCCAGCCAGATCAATCACTTGCTGCTCCATTCTAACTTCAGAGAAAGGTGTTATACTGAGACTGTACCAGGCAATTAGGCAAAGACATTTCGCCCTAGGCAAAAGGTGCCCCAAGCCCTTCACCCACTTCAGAGACTGTCCGCAAAAAATCATAAAACAAATGGCAGATTAAGCAGGAGAGAAGCATCACACATGAAACTGGGTGAAAGAGCTGCTTTAACATGGTTCCCACATTGCCTGTCTCTTCAGCCTTCTTTGAAAGCGCCCAGTCCTGCTGAGTAATGTAACCTGCTGCATAAACCAATTTGACTGCAGCATTTTTGAAATGTTCTCACCACGTTACACATCCACATCATCCTCATCTCCTCCTCGTCTAGAGGTCCATGGATAAAACTGCACTGCCTCATCAGCTTCAAGCTGCTTTCATTCCAAGTTCTGAATAGGTAAGACAGACCAACGCAGCTTTCATTTCAAAATGAATGAAAGCCAACACGATTATATATTCAGCCGAGGCCTGTTTGTCCCCATATGATTTAGCATGTCCCTTAGCTGATTCCTGCTCCACCCAGCATCATCACAACAGCCACATTACTTTGAATTCAGGCTTTGTGAGTCACTGCAAAACCAGCAAGCACACTTCACCGCACAGGCTGCACGCAACCTTCCTGATCCTGGTGGTGCAGACATAAGGAGTACTCAACTCTAAAGGCTAAGGCAAAGTCTACTATGTAAACCTGTCGTCAGACTTCACAGAAGAAAGCATGTTTTGATGTCATCTACCTTCCTGTAACAGTAGAACAATTATGAAAATGGGAATGAAAATATTTGCAATGCAGCAGATAATAGCCTATGCAAAAGCCATTCAAGCATGATGCTACAGCTGAAATATGGCTCAGCCTTCTCATTCACCTATGCTGTAAAAGGAAAAAATGTGATAGATAAGGTAGACAGTTGGGGTACCCAATGCTGTTAACTTGTGTCAAGGGCAACTGCTGAAATAGCCAGGAAAGCTTATGTGGGCCATAAGAAAACAAGCAAGCAATGTACTTGCCCTGCAGATCCAAAAGCAGCACTCCCTGGAGAGGTGTCTCACTCCTCCAACAACAGGAAATGAATTCTTTGGAAACATGTAAGGACAAGGGCAGATTCTGTCCAGCTTAACTATGGTCCCATGTTTTAAAATACGAGCTCCACTGCCTGTTCACATTCATCAGATTTCACACAGAAAGCTGATTTCTGGATGTTTTCTACTCCCATAATCTTCCCTTGGTCCACTGCACACTCACACACAAGAAAAACAAACAACAAAAACCTCAACAACTGAGGGTGATAGATGGACACATCCCAAATACACAAACACGGAGCTTGAGGAAATGTGTAAGCTAACGGCGGGGGAAATAAAGATGAACTGAAGAAAAGGGCTGAGATTCAGATTCAGTGATACAACTTCCCAGCAAAGAATTCAAGTCCAGCTGTGTGAGACATTTAGCATCACAGCATAACATTCATAAAGCAGGCAGTAAGCAACAGTTCCATGCTGACTAAGATATGATAATGTAACCCAAGATGAAATTGATTCTTGAGAAACAGTAAATGAAAACAAGATTGGAAGGGATAAGGCAACAAATTGGTGCAGCCACAATGGTTTCCTAAAACACATAGGTACAACTAAGGAAAAACAGCTTGCCAATACTTGTCTGTTTTTCTAAGACTATCAACTGATCTTACAAGAGAGATTATTTCTTGCAAACTTTATCCCACAGAGAAGACGAGGCATTCTTGGATTACATGATATAAGCAAGTAGTACTTCCTAAAGTACCCATAACACAGCAAGAACAAATCTTGCTTTTCAGAAACATCTGCTTTCCCTTGCCACCTGCAGAAGCAAGAACATTTGCATGAACAACAGATCATGAAGTGATTTCCTTTCTCCTGAAGACTGTACCTTCCAGTGAAATCATATAGCTGAAACAGATGTTAGGAAACATGAATCAGCATAACAGATTCTATTAAAGTTCAAAACAAACCCATAAAATATACTTTACCTTCCAGACCACGAAAAGAGCAACTTCAACACTACTCTCTACACAATGAAGTAACAGGAAAAGTAAAACCTGTATAGTTCTTACATTATTTAATTCCAGGTAAAAGAACCTAGTTTCTGCTGCACGAGAATTGCCATAACATTATCAACAAGGAAGAGATATTAAAGGAGAACAGTGAAGAGCAGTGCTTGTATTTACATGACATTACAAAGATGAACCAAGTAGATGCTGCTTTCCACTTTGCCCCTTTACTCTGGCAGTTTGCTACCTCTCCCATTTGTGAGCTCCCAAGTTCCTCCTTCCCCTACTTATAAAGACTTTCCAGCCATTTGTATCATTTCTGTCCTCATAGTTTTATTAAGAATCTCAATGAGCACTGCTCAAGGTCAGAAAGCTTGACATTCCTCATGTCCCCCTGTTCTGACTCTGACATCCTGCCACCTTGCCCCATCAGTCAGCTTTGTGCAGCACCTTTGGGGCCAGGAAGATGTGGTTCCTTCCTGACCAAGGCAGACACCGCAGTGGCTTCTGATTCACCAAGAAAGCATTCGTTCCTTACGTAACAGCAGGGAGAAAACCTAATTGTACTATAGGGCAAGGCTTATAAACCAAAGCTGTTCATGGAAGATCCTGTCAGTATTCTGGGTTTTATCCAAGGTTTCTTGATATACTTAAACACTTGATGTCGACATAGTAGATATGTTGGTGTATTGTTTCCTTCTTAGTAAAAAAAATTCTGATGAACATGGGATTTCCTCAGCAGATTCATTTTTCAAATGAGACAACTTCTGCTTGAAACTATTTAAATCTGAACTACTAGCCAGCTGCAAAGAGCAACAGCCTCCCAAAGGCAATGTGAGCTGCCTAATGCCAGGCTGCAGTGCAGCCCAAAGTGCACAGAACACACCTGATGTGACCAGACACCTCCTTGCTGCCCCTGCCCAGCCTCAGCAGTCATTTATACCTGAGTATCCAATAAGATCATTTCATCAGGGCACTATGTTATACAAAATCTTTTTCTCTGCCTCGCCATCAGCACAAGAAGCACAAATGCCAACAGCATGCTCCTGAAAGCTATTACTAAGCAGTGTCCTGAGTACATGAGATCCCAAAGGTTGCGCCAGAAGGAGCTTAAAATGGACTAAACTCCTCATCTTGTCATAATAAAATATACAAAATACATAAATACATAAACATCCCTGTTATTTATTAAGGAAGAAAGGAAAGCTTGGAGCAAAGACCAAAAGCAGAACCTGACTGGCATATCTTCAGTAGAGTTCTTGCACTTTGGAGGCAGCTGAAGGATTAAGGTGGTCAGGGTTTGCCTTTGGTTTTCAGAATCAAGGTAGAAATACAGGATATCACTTGAAACACTTACTGACTAATAACCTGAGAAACATCTGATATGATTTTACAGCTCAAACTTCCTTACAAATATCTAGGAAATAGAAAGCTTCCTGAATATTTTTCTTCTTTGTAAAACTAACATCACTGATTTCATAAAATACTGAGGTAGATGCAGTTTGTAACCAAATTCATTTGGTCACTGCTGTGACCATATTAATATAAAATACTAGTAAGTAGTAGTAATTTTAAATGTTAGCCAAATAAGGTATCTGTACAGATATCTGTTTGTATACACTACAAAATGAAATATCAATAAAGTATTCTTCATAAGATCCGTACCATCAAAATGGAAAAAAAAGAACAATAGTCCAGCTAATACTGTGATGTTCAGTGAAATCTCTCCTTCCTCCACCCATTCCATTTTATGACAGAAAATTAATTGCTTGTGAAGAGGAAAATTGAAGAGAAGAGGAAAACCCATAGAGAGATACTCAAGCATTTATAAGGCTAAGCATTTTTTTTAATATCTTAAATAATTTATTTATAGAAAGGTATTTGAGTGAATGAGCAACTCCTCACTAAACTGCAGTGACCAGACGTTTCTTTCAAAAATATCTCTTTGGGTTTTCCTTCCTCTAGGCAGAGAGAATAAAGAAAAACAAAACAAAACTATTTCCTATTTTCATGCTGGTTTGATTCCAGGCCAGGATTTGCCACTGTGACTAACAATGCTGTCTCACAGTGGTGAGATCACAAACCATTATCACCACTGAACTGCTGAAATACAGCAAATGTAGCAACAGAAGTTGAATATAATTTAATCTCACTGACAAAGGAGACAATACCTTTTCTTCAAAACCACTTGCCCAGACTGGAATTTACTTACCATTTACAATGTCCCAGAATCAAATAAAACAGAAGGTACTCATATGGCCCTCCTTTTCTGGGGAGGACAATTAAAGGTATCACTGCCAAGGGAAATTAATGCATTGTATACGAAGGATATGACATTGGTACAGAATATAGATTGACAAATATTCAGGTGGGTGATTTATAAGCTTCAGAAGCACACTAGCTATGCTGGCAGTGCCTGTCCTACTCTGAAAAGGTACAGCAGTCATCAAAGCCCAAGGTACCAGCCACCTGCAGCAATGTGCTACAGCACCATCCCAGAAAATATCACTCACACAGAGCACCTTCTGGCAGACCAGGTATTCTCCAGCCATTTGAATGTGGGAACAGAAGCATGAAACAGAAGTACTCTGGGTAAAGGCACTGATTAACCCAGTTGATTAACAGAACAAAAATAAGAGGAAAAACAACAACAACAACAACAACAGAAGTTTATAAAAAGAATGAGTTTTTGTAATGTAACCAACTAGCACCTCTGCCTTATCCATTTTGAAGCTGAGAACTGCAAGGCATCTCAAAGCCAATTCAGGGTGAACTTCCTGAAATCTTCAGCACAGGATCATAATTTCTGAATGATTTGTCAGATGTGAGCATGGCAACAATAGTATTTTTTGCTTTGTATCACTAAATATAGAATGAGAACATTAACATTTACAGCAAGAAGTCCTAACCCAAGAGCATAATCATCCCAGTGCTCTGTGCTGGCCTACGGTCAGATCCTCATGCCCTATTTCCAATGCATTTTCAGAAAAATACTGATGCTATACATGCCTATGCTAATCTTGACACTTGCTTAAACTGCAGAGTGAAAGTCCCAAGGCCGTATGAGCAGTAACACTCATCAAGCACAGCCAGGAGAAAAAAAAAAAAAAAAAAAAAAGCATCTAATTTATAGATACAAAATGACAGCACAGTCAGTAATGCAAGGTAACTTTTTGCAATGCTCAAGTCAATCTTACGTTTCTCCAAACCCTTTGCCCCACACTTCAACTTTTCATGTTATACAGAAGAAAAATTATTCTTGCCGGTTGTGAGGCAGGAACACACTTTAATGCTAGTCAGTGCAGGACAACTTTTTCTTCAATATTTTTCTTCATAGACTTTGACTAAACCTCAAGGCAAAGTGTCTGTCCTAATTTTATTTAAATAATTCATTTAGAGTGAAGTGGAAAGACTAGAAGCAGAGACCTCAGATGAGGCAAACTCTCCTAAAGACAGAATCACCCTTTACAGCCTGGGTGAAAACATAATGCATACCTCACAGCAGGATAGGAATCCCAAATAGAAGCTCCAGAGACACCAGTCCTGGGTAACTAATGCAGCATCACTTGTACCCTAATGGAATGAGCTCAAAATTGAGGAAGTGAGAGTGAAGGCTTATTTTTGTTGTTATTTGATTGGGGTCTTTTTGTGGGTTTTTGTTTGTTTGTTTAATAAACTAAAAACATCTTAGCTTTTAACTATCTGGTGTGGTTAAAAGTAAGGTGGTTGTAAGCTCCTCAAGGTGCTGAAGGACAAGGGCAGAGCCTCCAAAGACTGATATGGGCTTTGTGCTGGAGCTAATGTGTTCTGAGGACATGACCTCGCTGTAAATAGCTGTGTTTCTCTGCCCTGCCTTCCTGGACCATGCCGTCAGACCAGCAATGTTTGTCTGTACCTGTTCTCCAGGTTATCCCAAGCATCGTCTGTGGAGTCATCCTGTTGTTATTCTCCAGTGCCTGAACCAGCTGGGTCATTCCTGCTTTAGGCTATATTAGAAAATGGGACATACACTCTACCCTTTAGGCTAGAGAGAACACGTCATTTAGAGAAACAGAGTTCCAGAGTAAGAATTAAATGCAGTTTGCTATGGGATCAAAAACATGAAGAGACTGCACCTTTGGAGTATGGAAACGAGATTTTTATCTCACTGTTGTATGAAGAACAAGTCAAGAAGTTTCCTAACAACACTGGGCAGAGATCTTTAATTAGTTCATAAAGCATTTTACTGAAACAGAAATTTATTCATGCGCCAAAGAAAAAGGTGCTCGTTAATGGCATGTCATTAAGTGTAAGTTGCTTTGTAATTAGTAAAAATTACTACAGGCATGGCAAGGTTGATTCAGACAAGAACTGCACCTAGGTGAGTGTCATATTCCTGACCACAGTGAGTCTACACAAACTATAGAGAAGAAGTTTGAAATTCAGTCATGACCCATGGGGACAGGCAGTCAGATCATGCATTCCAACCTGTCTGAACAAGCACTAGAAGAAATCTTATCAAACTCAAATATGAATGCCTTTGGTATAAATGACTGCGTTAGCCAGAAGGAAAACTAAAAAAGTTTGAAAGCTTCACACAAATAAACTATTTTCTTTGCACTGAATTGACACTGTACTCCCACTCCTTCACAAAGGAAGTTAAGAGGTTCTTTATATTTCAAGCCCACTCTGTTTTTTTCAACAAAATATAAATGAAATGGCCATGTGAATTATTAACAGATGTCAACAGAGAGCTAGCCAGGTATTTCAAACACTCTATTCTTCCTACATGAATTCCCTAACTGTGATTGCAAAATATGTTTTCTTACTTCTTTCATATTTTAAATCCATAATTAGAGCTCCTTTTCAAGGAGTAAAAATTATTGTACATTCCTTCCTCTCTCTTTTCTTTTCCTTTTAGAAAGCATTTTTTCTTTTCCCCGTTTAATACCTTTCCAGTAGTGCAAGCTCACGCAAAGCATCACACAGTCCTATAGAAACAGATATTATTTACTTCTGAATAGAAACAAACACAAATACAAAACCTGAAAACAGAGTAAAGCTTTTGTCATGTTAAGATGTTAACCATTGGCTCAAGTTAAAAGCAAATGCTGTTCATTATAAATATTTGGAAAACCCCTCTCCCCATCACCAAAAACCCCCAAAACACAGCCAACAAAGAGGTGAACAGGACACCACATTGATCCAGCACCATTAACTGCTTCAGAGCATGCTTGGTATTTATGCATATATACAGATTTAATACTGCTTCAGTCCATTTACATCATTTAACTCAAACTCTGAATATGTCAAATAATCACTGCAAATCCAATGCAAGAAATGAAAATGAAATAACGTAAGTCAGTATCAGTACAACTGGAAGATTGTACAACTGGAAGATGACAACTAATACAGATAGAAACTATTGAAATTACAGCTATAGTAGCAAGCTTTAAAAACAGCAACCTTTTTGACAACTTTGAAAAGCAATCAGGATGATCCTAAATGAACACATTTTTCTATTAAGTTCAAAATTTAAATCCATCAATTCATAACTTTCAAAAATTAGGGCCATCTTAAAAGTTAAGGTAAAGCACAGCATCTGACATAACATAAAATGGGGGAGTCAAGTTTATCACTGTGGTGCAGATATTTCCCAGTGATGCTACAGGGAATTGCCAGCAAAAACACAAAACAGGATAACCTCTGAGGTTTGAATTTGACTCCGCTGCATACACATGCTATTCGTTCTGCCTACCAAAAAATGGACAAAAGCAGCACATACATTAGCAGCAGCTCCTGCTTAAAAACAATAAGCACAACACATCATCCCCTCAGCCAGCTCCCCAGTGAAAGTACTTCAGACTAAGCCACAAAAAAAAACAAACAACAAAACTAACAGTGAGCTTTTGAATGACAGGACACCATGTGCTCCATAATCTACAGAACCAGTGAAGTACTTACAAGGTTTCTTAAATAAATTGATCATCCCTACAATTTCAGATGAAGTCAGAGAAACTCCAGACTTGATCTTCTCTGAGGAAGAAACAAAAGCCATGAAATCACCAGAGGGAAGGGTTTGGCATTTTTTGTTTGTTTTTAAGAGAAGGACAAACAGAACATGAGGGAAAGCGTGTAGAACAGCCCTGCAAATCAAGTAGAGAACATATTTCAGCATTATTTTTACTATATATTTTCCCTACTTTAAAGTCCTTCTCAAAAAGTGGGAAATGTTTTTTCATGGAGGTTTAAAGTAGCAAGAGCCAAAGTGATTTCAGATTTATGGCTAGGACCTCCTGACCGACCTTTCACACAAAATGCACTTGCTACATTAGTTTATACAACTGCTTTTTGCTCAAACCTCCCCAGCTATAAAGCCAAAAACAGCTTACCTTTTCTACAAGGGCAGAAAGGTAGACCCAGAACACTACGCAACTCTTTATGGGTGCTGTAACACCAGCAGTTTTTAATAAGTCAGAAATTACTCTATGTTTTCAGCTTTACAAGAACAATTAAATGTCAAAATCTACCATGAAATCTGGAGACTGCATTTTTCCAGAAAAAATTGTGCTAGACACTAGTATTTTCTCATGCATCCTGTTATTACCATGAAACAGAGGCAAGGGTTAAGCAGTCTATAATATTGTCATAAAGGAAGCAATAATGATGCAGATCCCTCCTGGAAAGCAATAAAATCTTGAATATAAGACCTAAAAAGACTTCATTACATAGTTCTCAATCAGTACAGTCTAAGTCAAGACTACTACAGTACTTCTCCATGTTCTGGATAAAAACTGGCTCCTTTTGCAGAGGTGCCAGTCTTACAAATCTTTATAACCAGGATTTAAGCAAAAATCAGCATCTTAAGGCCAGGTTCTCAGATACATAATTTGTCATAAACATAGATGGTCTAATTTTTGAATCTCCTAACTTCAAGTGCAGTAAAACTATCTACAGAAAATTCCTGTTCTAGTATAGTCTTTTAAGTTCTTACATGAGGTTTGTTTAAAATCATGGCTTAAAATCTTTACCCAAAGATCCGCGATGGTAAGCAGTTCACATCCCAAAGGAGTTCAAACCAAAAAGCGCTTCACCTAAAATTCACCATCTAGAGAAAGACTGTACTTTCTTGCTGTAAAAGCAGATAAGTTTATGGTCATTTTCAGGTTTAAAGTTTCTTAGCACTTTCGTATCAGTAGCAAAGGCTTTTGAGATCAGTAACAAAGTCTTTAGCAGAGGAGAACTTAAATTATTGAATATATTGCATTCGACAAAATCTAATTTATTAAATCTCTCTCTCTGTAAATTCAATTAAACACAAATTATTCATTTATTTGAAGAAACGTTTAAGAATCCCAAGCTGCTTAGCATCCACATTTTGGTAAGCATTGAAAATACAGACACATAGAGAACCATTTTCCCAAAGCACAGGCATACAAATGAAACAGAACTAAAAACGAGAGAAGATTAAAAGGCTGTAGGAATATCTTCCTTGTGCCTCTCTTCTGGGGCATCTTGTCAGGAAATATATCTAAAGACTTACATGTAACAATGGCTTTAGTGGGGTTATTTTTGTATTTTTGGTTTGGTTTTTTTTTTTTTTTTTTAGGGACACACTTTATTTCACTAATGAAACATTTTCAGGAACCAGGAGAATGACTTTCAAACAATTTCATTTTTAATTAATAAGAGCTGCAAAAAAAAGAGAGAAAAGAAAACAGCTTTGGTCTAACAAAATGCATGATTTTTTGACCCATCTGAAAAGGGTCACTTTCTGCACTCCAGCATGTCACAAGAAGACTCCCTGAAGTAAACACAACACTTCACCTAGACCACTTAAGCCTTTCTCCCTTGGCACTACAAGCTATCAAGCATCCTGCTTAGTAGCCAGCAAGCCAGAATTAATTCACGGAGCTCATAATAATGCTCTGGATCATCAGAAAGGCCACATGGCTTCCTGAGCAATCACTTCGCAGGTCACAACTGAAGTCAACACCCTTGGATGTGTTCTGCAGCTATGCAAATCCTTTGCAATTTTATTATTTCAAACACCATGACCAAGATCCAGTTTGGTGACCAACAGATGAACACACTGAAAGATGAAAGATACTGAAAAGCCCAGGCATCAAGAGGTAGCTCACAGAATGACTTTTGAATCTGGCATCCAATTTGGAGATGCATGATTGACCATGAAACAATCTCCTGGCCAAGGATAATTAGCACAGTATTTAATCATCCCACAAGTTTACCAGAAGACCTTTTGGAACAGCAGCTGAGGAACAGCATCACTCAGACAACCACCATGAAAGCAAGCAGAGGACAATCCTGCAAAAATACAAATTACTCACTCTAATATTAGCACCATCTTAGCCACATCCAAACTACCTGCCACCAATGTCACAGCCTTTTCCATCTAGGTGTTAAAGCAGCTACAAAAACACAAGCTTTTCTTATATATCAAAACATTAAGTGCAAGAGGATTGAAAGATGAATTGGCAAAACTAAACTCTGTACAGTCAAAGTTCATTTTCCTGTTTAAAGCTTTTTTCCATTCACTTACATGAAAGCAGGTTTTAATAGTTGAAGGATGTAATACAGTAGACATTTAAAAGGTCTCAGTTGTTCCCCAGATAATTCATGTCAAATGCCCTAGAGATGTTTTTTTTGTTTTGTTTTTTTTTTGTTTTTTTAACATTTTCTTTTGTGGAGAATAATTAAATAATGCACGTCACTGAATTAGCAGTAATGCCATTCATTGATGGCAAACTAAAATTTTGGCTCCCTCTCATGGGCTTGTCTGTCTTCGTATTGCATCTTTACCTATTTTGGATGCGACAAGAAATTAAGGCAGTTGGTTTGCTAAAACTCTGCCGTAAGTAACTGCAGATACTGATTTTTTACTTATTGCTTTATTGCAAAAAATTGCTGTCTTCTGTTACATACTATCTTAAATCTTTAGGGTATTAAAGCAACCTTAGATTTTACATGGGCACTAGACCTTTAACTTGTGAAACAGAAGGCTTACCTGGTGGTTATAAGAAACCTATTTTACCAACTCAGTCAAATGTTTCAAGCTACATGCAGTCAGTGGAGAACAGTGAGGCAAGAAAATGAAATCTAGTAAAAGAAAGTCACGGACAGTGAACCAAGCAAAAATCACTTCACTGGATGGCAGGAAAGAGCAGCTGAAAGAGTAGAACTGAATAAATAGTGCTACAAAACAGGAACAGATTTAGGAATAATAATCTCATACCTCAACACACATGAAGTTATTCTATTCACTCTAATAACTTCAAGTACAGTAGTAGTCTCATCATAAAATACCATACCATTTTAAAGAAACAGAAGCAACTTCAGTATTTTGACCAATTAGGAAAAAAATAACAGAAACCAATACTATCATGTGTTACTTTTCTGGTTCTCTTGTGGTTTCATAGATTAAAATAGAATTTAAAAGGAGAGAAATGTTCCTTCCCTCTTCACTCCTCCAAGGCAAAGACCCTTCATGCAAATATGTGGTTGCAGCTCCAGACCATGGAACAACCACCTTAGCGGTACTTCAGAAACCTCATCATGCCTCTTTTCACCTGCCCAAAGAGTCAGTCATTGCTGTGGAGACAGCACGAAAGGTCCCCTTCTCTTCAGGCATTACCTTTTCTTGCTCCCCCTATCTACAGTCTCTTCTTGACTTAGAAAGGAAGAGATACGGTATTAGCTTCTTAGAAGACTGTCAAGCTACCTAAAAGTAGCAATGCAGTGCCATAAGGTCCAGCAGTGCCAGTGTCAGGAATTCATGGGAGTATAGAGTAAAACAGTGGTGGGAGGCAGGAAGGAACAAGGTAGATATTCACATGTCGGAGCATGAACAACTGACAAGGAGACAAGAAAGGAAGAGGAAAGAAAACTGAGGAATCTGCATAAGATTAAGCCTGGTTGGACCTCTGTGGGATTGGTAATAGATGTACAGTCAAAAAAAAATAAGAGGAGTGGGATTTTTGGGGGCAAAGGCAATGTAAAAATAAAGGACACCAGAGACCATGCTTTTCTGAAATGAAAAGTGAAGCAGTCAATATCTAATAAAAGAAAGTTCTAAGTGTCAAAATCTCTCAGAAAGCACGTCCGCCTACTGTTAAAGCATGACATTGCTATCCCTAAAAGGGAATTGGTTTCTAAGTAGGAACAGATTGGAATCACTGACTCATCCACTCTGGGATTTTATAGCAAACTGACAAAGAACAAAAAGCTGGTAGAGGAGAAAAATAAGGAGGCGGGGGGATTCAAATAAGATTAGTTAGACATGAATTCCAAATAAAGATTAATATCACTGCCTTGTGGAACTGGGGATTTGTGAAAGTCAAGGTCATGAAATTAGCAGAAGGCAGGAAGTTCATGAGCCCATATGATGACATTTAAAGGAGTAACTTTCAGCAGTATTTCTACTCTTAACATTTGCTATTACATATTATTTCAGGCTTCTTGAAACCGTAACTGTCATTTATTGCAGGTATCTAAAAATCCCCTGCTTCCATTTCAGAATTATCAACCATCTCTTTTAACACAAATAAGATGATTTTTTTGGAAAAAAAAAAATCGTTCACTATATACACACTCTGCTGCAGCCATAAGAGCCAGACACTCATAAGAAAGGTCAATAGCTTGACTCTGTCCTTTTGCACTAATAGGATAAACATTATTGGTAGGAATGGTCTTTACTGAACCACCGAACTGTTAATTAGATGACATAGATTACAAACACTTCAAAGCCACAGAAAGCACTGTTAATTTCTGCTTTTGTAACTAATGCCCAACACAGATCAGATTTCTTTGCAGATTAAAAGGCATTTCAATCCTTTTAGGTATTTTTAATTTTATTTTTTTCAAATTAAAATTTCCCCAAGAATGTTCAGTATTCCTTCATTCATTCAAATTCATACTCTCAACCAAATAAACTATTTTCTTCCATTTATAACTTTGTAAAGATATCACAAAACCTATGTAATTTCCCATATATACTTAATACGAATTAGAAGTTAATAAGCTGTAGCTCTTTTATTCTGCTGTGACAATCTTTTCAAGAAAGGAAAGCGAGGGACACATTATTAACTCAAATCCTGCTATTAAAAAATTTATAACTCAGATTTCCTTTAGAAGTACTTGGAACTTGATAGGTCAAGCAATCAAATATACTCCAAATAGTCTAAGAAAGACAGTTCTTCTTAATCCAGTTATCTGGATTAAGAAGAATTTGCAGGACCAGCCTGGTCAGCTCTATGACTTTCAGACCCAGGCAGAAACAGATTATTTGTGATAATTTATAAGGGAGAAACTGGTTTCTTCTGTATTCTGTCTCTTTAATTTTCAACCAAAACACCGCATAATTTTTACAGTGCTTGAATCATCAATACCCATAATCTCAGGGTCAACATTTTAGTCAGTATCCCTTTCATCTGTAGCCATGCTTTCATATGTTTTTTTTGGTTTTGTCTTTTTTTAAATGTTACTGAAAGAATAAGTACAGCACAACTGATTTAAGGCCAGATTGGACGGGGCCCTGGGCAGCCTTGTCTGGTATTAAATGTGGAGGTTGGTGGCTCTGCATGTGGTAGGGGGGTTGGAGATTCATGATCCTTGAGGTCCTTTCCAACCCTGGCCATTCTGTGATTCATTTGCATAATCACTGAGTTCATGAAATCAAGCAAAAGTTTAAGCTTTTCTTATTTTTAAATCAACGTTCTTGCAATAAAATGCCTTACATTTTAGGCTTCTTTGGAGTTAGGCAGCATTAGTAAAATTGTGAGGGTACAGGAGTTGTTACATGATCAAATCTTTAATAAAGATTGCAGTTGTGCAGGACTAATGAGTTGCACCTCAGTGAAGCACAGTTCTGCAATAAGAAAACCACATTGTACAGACTACATTTTCCACCTGTCTGCATTTCTTCCTTTGACCACTAATGGGAACAGCTAACAGTGTTATATATTTATATAATATGTAATATTATTTATAAGAAATATTTTAAACTGTATATACAGAATTTCTATTTAGCACAACAAATAAAAACAGTGCTGTACACAAATACTAAATTAAAGTGTAATAGTGTTGAAGAGTATTATAGTATAAAACTCTGCATTAACTACCTAGATCTTGTAGAACTGAAAGGAAACCTTTTTAAAGAAAATTATTTTCTTCAAATTACATCCTCTAGTTGGGTGTTTTTGTATACTTCAAGTTTCATCAAGGAATAAACCACTATATTAACATGCTCAATTACAGACACTTTTACTGTCTGTATTATATAGGAATATATAATAATAATAGTAGATTATAACAGATCTAACAGAAAAAAAAAAAACAAAAAAAATCATTAAAAATTACAGCACTATCCTTCCGAAAAATATATAGTCAAACCAAAATAACAGCTTAAAAACATCCTGAAGAACTTTCTAGTGAAACTTGCCTGAGGACTGAACACTTCTTACTTTCATGTCATCTCCAGATTCATTCCTTTATGAGCAATAAATCTTTCTTTACACAATAACACATGTTCCATGGGAAAAAATAGATTATGATTCAAAATAGTGCTATAATACAGATTTACCCTCAACTACATCAACAAAAATTAGCAATCTGAGCAGGACCCTTCAATGAAAAACCTTAACCAGCCATACTAGGAGAGTTCAGCTGCCCTTACTGCTTAAATGCTTACAGATAGTGGAACTGAAGAATGAACTTGCCTTGAAGACAACTCTTCCTACTGCCAGTTCAGGACAGTGCAAATCTCTAGGAAGAACAACAGTGTGCAGTGAAACAAAGTAAAAATAGCAAAGGATGCATGGACAGCTCTACAAAAGTCATGCAAGTCTCTGAGCTGCATTTCAACTGAGAAATTCACTCATGGAAGCTTGAGGGCCACAGGGATCTCGTGTGGAAATCTACCTTGTGATATTAAATTTGAGAAGACAACCAATTCATTCACATTTCATAGATTTTCAAATTGAAGCTTGTTCCAATTACCATTCAAATTCATTGCAATTGTAAGTCTAGAGATAGAGAAAATGAATCGTGAAGAAATGCTACAACATTATGCTGACTATACCAAGGTGTCTGTCTTCTTCGTAGGACCTCTTTGTTAAAATGAGGAAATAAATTATTTGCACAGCTGATTAACGCATAGTGATTTAGTTAATTAAATCCTTGCTGTTTGTGCTTAGACTGAAGTGACTTAAAGTCCACAGTTGATTGCAACCACAGTCATCAGTTACTGTAAGAAATAAATCTTTATTGGATAAGCAAGAAGAATGAAGAATGCGAAATACAGAAAACAAATTAACAGAACAAATGAAAGAAAAATGGCTTTGAATGATACAAGTGAAATCAGAAAATTTAATAGAACAAAAAGGAACATCGGTTTTTCTACCCTCCTAATTATTTGAAGGATGAAAACAAAAAAGCCACATCTTGAAGAAAAACTGAAGCCTTTGGAGAGCCAGGAGAGGATTACCAATAAATATGAGTCTGAAGATTTTTAACCTAGAAAATATGAAATGACAGAAGGAGCTAATGAAAAAGTATGTACAAGGGCTGCTTCAAAAGTAATGCCTCCTATTTCATCATGTGGGCCCACAATGCCAGAGGTGGATGCAGGTGACAAAAAAGAATATTCTAACACAGAACATGTGGGCGTAGGTTATGAAAGAATGCTGATGGACTATGGGGGAAAAAAAGCTAGCTTTACTTGTCTTGGAATAAGAAACATGAGCAAATACTATACAGAAAATGTATGTCTTACATACTTAATTTACAAAATTCATATTAGCCGATCTGAAGATGGCACTATAACTGACCACTCTCATACTGCTCTTCAAATACTCATCTGTTAAGCAATGTGTATTGTACCAAGGCTTAGCAAAGTGAAAAATGTGCTTTTTGAGAACTGCATGTATTGCATGCATAAATTAAGTCTATCCAAAAGGAACAGAAGGTAGCTCAGAACCTGTCCTCCTTAGACACAACTGACATGCAAACATGATGAGGTTAGAGAGAGCAGGCAGGAAGCATCCTGCACTGACAGAGGAGCACATTTGCATCTTCCTGTTTTGAAAAAGTAAGAAAATACCCTACCTGTGTTACATTAACAGAAAACAGCTGACCATTTAAGGAAATCTGCCTATCATTCATTCTCTTTCTACATACCACACCAGTCAAACATATATTTTCACATAACATTCACAAGTAAGTCAGGACAAGAATCTTTTCCAATTTATATAGCAATATTAGTTAGACAGAACAGATTTTCCAAGTAACATGAGTAACTGCAAACAACAGAGTCAACATTTTTTGTAAAAAAAAAAAAAACAACAAATACAGCATCTCTACATTAGATTAACACCGAACCCAGTTTTACAGAAATGCAGAGTGCATGAATATACATTCTGAATGCTAGACAGAGCCCTGCAACCAAATTTTGACTGGAGCTGCCTCTACAGGTAGAGTAAGTTCATGATAGCTTTTGTACTTACCTTCACTCTGACTTCACAGATGAAGCTCACTGATGAATATGTTTGCCCCACATTCCAAATTGAATGCTCTAGGAAGAAGTCATTACCTGTCATTCACAATTTCAAAATTCTTCCCAGAAAAAAAAAAAACAACAAAATAATAATAATAAATAAAAATCAAATAATAAAACAATAATAATAATAATAATGATAATGATGATAATAATAATGATAATGAAGATAACAATAATGATAATGATGATGATGATGATAATAATAATGACAATAAAATAAAATAACCTGAATGGACAAAACCCTTTGCTGCTGTCATTCCACTTTCAGAGGAAACAAGCACAATTCAGTATGTTTTCAGCATCTTCCAGTACTCAATAGAACTGAAGCATCTAAGGAAGCTGAGTTGTAAATATTTCACAAATAACCAAACATTCAGAAACCCTGCAGAAATTAAAATAGTACAGATCTGTCCTGGTAAAAGCCTAAATGCACTCATTCCCAATGGTAGCATTCTGCAAACATGCTGTATTTCCCAAAAAATCTCTCCTGGCAAAATGAGAGCTGCTTAGTAAACTGGAGACTATGTATATCTTTGCATGACTTCAGTGATTGAAATTAAATATTTGCTGTTGTGTGCAGTGGGTGTTTGTTTGTTTTCCCATTAAAAAAATGGGCAAAAAGCACACACAATATTTCGTAGTACAGTAACACATACATTACATCCTTCCTTTATTATGATAATGTTTTTTTCTGTTGTATAGGTTAGAGTACAGAGATTAAAATACAAACTTCAGTATTCAGTTATCTGCATTTTCACTTCAACTTAATGTTAACTGAAGACATCACTTACAGTGATCAGCACAAAATCTGCTGGGGGGGAAAAAAAAACAGCACTAAAGGATCAGCAGAAAAATGTTCTCTTACCTTTTTTAAGATGGGGTGTGACGTTCTATATTTTCACAGTCTTCCTTCCTCCCTCAAAGAGGGATTTTTCTTTAATGAAAGCAATCAGAAAGCAGAATATGCTGCTAAGGCCATGTGGTTAACATTCTTCTCCCACACTGTCAAGGTAAAAGGGGGAAAGAAAGAATGTTAATTCACGTTTTTAAGATCACACCTTTTTGCTTTCTGTCTTTCTGGGGTTCTTATAAGCTGAGCAATTCCTGCCTGCCAGGTCTTTTGCAAACAGTCTGAGATGCTGCAGTTAAAAAACAAAACAAAAAACAGCCAAACCAGAGAAAGATGGAAAGATAATGCAATAAGAGAAATTTTCATTAGTTTCAGATTTCCCTCTAAGAGTTTCATACAAAATGTTCTTTTTACCGTTTCTAACTACTGAAATAGCAACTTTCTTACATTTCCTGCCAAACATTCATAAACTGTGATTCTAACTCAATTATTTTTCATCAAAAATATGGCAATGGTTTTAACTGTAGTTTTGGCTGAAATAAAAATGTGGTATTTGATTCCAGTTATTCCTTTTGAGGAACTAACAACTTCCAAAAATTAAAATGAGAATTTACTGTAATTTCAATTTTATTCCAACTACAGGATGAGTTTTAAATACTCTTCCAGCAAAAAGTATGGAATACTTTTTTAACAAAAAAATTTCTTACCTCAAAATAATCAAAATTTAGTGATCTATTCAATATAGTAATCTATTCTGTGAAAGAAGAAAACTTTAAACAGATTAACAGAAATTATAAAATTGCAAAAAGCTGAACTATTAACAAAGTTTTATTTTGTTTTCACTAGGCTTTTAGTTTTGCATTGAAAAAGTTTGAAACTTTGTAATTTTAAATAAAACCATGCTGTTGAAGTTTTCTTATAAGTATTTTGACTTTTATTAAGGCACTTGCTGTCAGATGAAGTTCCCAGGGACTGGAAAAAGGAAAACATCACTCCCATCCACAAAAAGGGGAGGAAGGAGGACCCAGGGAACTACAGGCTGGTGGGCATCACCTCTGTGCCTGGGAAGATCATGGGACAGATCCTTTTGGAAGACATGTTAAGGTACATGAGGGATAAGTGGTGACCTGAGACAGCCAACATGGCTTCACCAAAGGAAGGTTGTGCCTAAACGATCTGGTGGCCTTCTATGACAGAATGACACCACTGGTAGACAAACAGAAGGCTACTGATGTCATGCACCTGGACTTCTACAAGGCCTTTGATGTGGTCCCCCACCATATCCTTATTTCTAAATTGGAAGAGAGATGGATTTGAAGAGTGGACTATTCGGTCATAAAGAATTCGTTGAAAGGTCACAGTCAGAGTGTCGTGGTCAATGGCTCTATGTTCAGGTAGATGCTAATTATGAGTGATGTTCTTCAGAAGTCCATCTTGGGACCAGTACTCTTCAACATCATTACCGATGACATAGATGATGGGATTGAATGCACTGAGTGCACCCTCAAGTTGGCTGATGACACCAAGCTGAGTGGTGTGGCTGACAAAGCAGAAGGAAGGAATGCCATCCAGAGGCATCTTGATAAACTCAAAAAGTAAGCCCTTCTGAAACTAATGAGGTTCAACAAAGCGAAGTACAAAGTTTTGTACTTGGATCAAGGTAATCCCAGTTATGTATGCAAAGTGGGAGAAGAACTCCTTGAGAGTAGCTCCGCTGAAGAGGACCTAAGGCTCCTGGTAAAAGAAAAACTTAGCATGAGCTAGCAGTGTGTGCCTGCAGCTAGGAAGGTCAGTAGTATCCTGAGTTACATCAAAAGAAGGCTGCCCAGCAAGGAGAGGGAGGTGATTGTCCCCCTCTGTTCTGCTCTCACGAAGCCCCAGCTGGAATATTGTGCTCAAGTCTGGGGCTCCCAGAACAGGAAAGTTGTCGATCTTTTGGAGAGGGTCCAGATGAGGACCATGAAGATGATCCAAGGGCTGCAGCATCTCCCCTGTGAAGACAGGCTGAAGGAACCAGGCTGGAAAAGAGAAGGCTCTGGGGAGACCTAATTGCAGCCTTCCAATATTTAAAGGGAGTTTATGAACATGAGGGAAATCAACTTTTTACAGGGATAAGATAAAGGGGGAATGGTTTTAAACTAAAGAAGGTTTAGATTAGATGTCACAGGGAATTCTTTTTTTACTTAGTGTGGTGCTGGAACAGGCTGCCCGGAGAGGTTTTGGATGCCCAGTCCCTGGAGGTGTTTAAAGCCAGGTTGGATGGGGCCCTGGGCAATCTGATATTGTACTGGATCTAGCAACTGGCAATCCTGCCTGTGGCAAGGGGGTTGGAACTTGATGATCCTTGAGGTCCTTGAAGTCAAAGCCATTCTATGATTGTTAGCTTCCATATGCATACAAATAAAAAAAATTGAGTATCGGACAGACATTTTATAGCATCTATCCTATTCTTATACTGCATTAAATAGTATTTCTTATATTCATTCACACAGTCACTTGTATCCTCAGGCAGCTACAAACAAGAGTAGGAACAACGTGATAAGAAAATCATAGAATCATAGAATTGCAGGGGTTGGAAGTGACCTCAAGAGATCCCCAAGTTCAGCTCCCCTGCTAAACCAGATACCTTACAATAGGTCACTCAAGTTGGCGCCCGCATGGGTCTTGACTATCTCCACAGAAAGAGATCCCACAACCTCTCTGGGCCACCTACTCCAGTTCTCCATCACCCTTACCATAAAGCAGTTCTGTCACATGTTAGTATGGAACTTCCTACGTTCAAGTTTTAGGCCATTACTCTTTGTTGTATTGCTACACACCACCAAGAGCAGCCTCACCCATTTGCCTCCCACCTCCCTTTAGATATTTATAAACATTTATCAGATCCTCTCTCAATTTTCTTTTCCCTAAGCTGAACAGACCCAGCTTACTCAGTCTTTCCTCATACAGGAGACGCTCCAGGCCTATTATCATCTTTGTGGCCCTCCACTGGACACCTCCTAGGATATCCCTGTCTTTTTTGAACTGGGGAGCTCAAAACAGAACACAGTAGTCTAAACATGGCCTCAGCAGGGCAGAGTAGATGGGGAGAACTGCCTTCTTCGATCTGCTGGCCACACTCTTTTTAATGCACCCCAGAATACCATTGGCCCTTTTAGCCACAAGAACGATGCCCCAATTCACGAGACAGGGCTGCAGCAACTCAAACAGAAGAGCTTGCCAACAGCCTGTGAGCATCAGACTGTGGGATTCTTAGCTTCAGTATTCAGCTGCTGCTGAAGTTCATAAGGCTGAGTGTGCAAGTGGATGCTCTCAGGATGCCAGGACGTCAATATTGGAAATCAGGGCTGATCCTATAGAAAATGTATGTGGAGGTGGAGGCAAGGTCAGCTCAAGCTGAGAAATGACACATTAGTGCTCTGTTGACTGACTCTACACTACTCGTAACATTCAAGATGTAATCAAGGTGTGAATGGAACATGAAAAAACATCATGAAAACATCCTGAACTCATCAGTCCAAATTAAAATAAAATAGTACTACTCATATGCTGTGACAAACTGAAAGTCTCAATCTGCTGATAGTTGTGAATAACCAGGAACTTCAGATGTTAAAAATCTCATATACACTCATCAGCTTCAGATCTAAGTTCCACACAGTGAATCAGAACTGCTCTCTTATTTACAGACACAAAATGCAGTAATGAGAAGAGAACACGCAACAGTTTGAGCATGGAAAGTTTGTGACCTGCAAGAGCATATCAGGCTAACATCGTTCTAGCAAAACAGGCAGAAATCTACTCATTTTTCATCAAAAAATACCTCCTTCCCACCAGTAATTAATTGTCAGTTCAAAGACCTCTGCTACTTTTTAATCTGTAAATCCTGGATGCAACCAAAATCCATTTCTAGAGCAGACTCTCCAGCACCCCTATCCTGCAGACATAACGTAGCTGCTGGAGTAGATAGGCTTTCAGTGAAGCTGGCTGCTAATTTCATGTTTCCCTGACCTTCCTGCAATTGACTTATTTATTCTGATGGCTGTGGCACAGCAGGCCCCAGGAGGCCAATGTACCTGCACAGTAAGCAAGAGGCTGTGGCTTCACTACTTTGTATGCATCTCAAGGGGAGCAGTAAATCAGTAAATGGCTGGCATAACATGGAGTCAGTTTTCATTCAGTTGGTTCAGGTTTCGAGGGATGTGAGCAACTGACCAGTCTTTGAACTAGTTTATTGTTCTTGAAAATCAGAATCTGGAGTACTCTGAACTCCTAGGGATAATATAGACTTCTAGTGCTCAAGGTTAAAGGAAAAGAAAAAAATTACTGTTTGCTCGCAAGCTCATGAAACATTCCAGCAGATTAAAAAAAAAAAAAAGTCTTCCTTATGTTTAATAGCATTCTTTTATCCTCCCAGGGGAAGAAGTGGATACAGGTATGTGTGGAAACATTTTGATGAAAAGGAAATTCCAGCAGCAGTCTGGAAGGGAAGACTTGGTCCTTGAAAGATTATTTCAGGAAACTATTCTACTCACATCTTTCTAAAGCAGTAGTAGAATTCCGTGCAATGTTAGAAATATACATTTCTAGCGTAGAAAGTTAAGTAGACACACACTCTGCATAACATTAAGAAATAAAATCACTGCATCCCACAGTAATAAGTAGCACCCAAAAGCAATGAGGTCAGGAGCTAGCATCCATGAAAACTCTAACCAGAATGGAAATCAGGAAAGAAAAAGTTGCTTTAGTTTCTCAAGCTGTTGTTGGAGGTCAGAGAGCATTATATTCTGCATTTTACAATCTACACTTTGCCTCAAGAAATAATAATAGTGCAAAACTACAGAACAGAACAAGGCCGTTATAAAAGCAGTTCCCTGAAAATAGCTACCATGGTACTAGATTTGCAAGTGGTAAATTGATTGACTGGTTTATTTACAGCTTCTCAGACAATAGTTGTTCATAGTCCAGAGAGCTGTTATTTTGCCATGCAGTAGAAGACTAGTAGGCATGTCAGCAAGTCAAGCCATCAAATATTTATATCAGCAAAGGGCTCTCCTCTACCTTCCACCCCTGTCTACAAATACCCATTCATATCAACAAATTCTGTTTTACTAAGAGCATATTTCTACTTCTCAGCGTAGCTGAGTAAAGCTAT